AACTATTGCCTGGGGAGGCCCCCACCTGGTTGATAACCATGAGAGGTGGTCTTGCTCCTCCCTGTCTGCACTACGATATAAGACGATGCTTTACTCTAAGCTCGTTGGCCTCACTAGACCCCTTGTCTGCATAGTGAGAGAAATACAACAGCACCTTGCCGGGAAATCGCGCTAGGCAGACACCTCTGGTGTACGGGAACCAGGGAGAGCACCCCTCCCTCGGTATATGGCTGCTAGGGTGTCCTGGCAGATGGGATGACGATGCGCCAGGGAAGGCTGATGTCTGGTGATTGACCATGAGGGATATCTTGCTCCTTCCCGCACTGCGTATCAGCGCCACCTGAGGATGCGATGTCGATTAATTACGACGTCATACAGGATGGTAGGGCGCCCTGTATAAAAAGCTACCCTGTGGAAGCCTCTGAATCGGGTGACCACAGTATGGCTAGTTCCCCTCATGGTCCCGGAGCCAGGGATCATGATGGTGGTGGTGGCTCATCAGGCAATTCGACCCTTGGACCGGTTATCGTTAAGAGATGTTCAGTGGTATTGACTCGTCTCCCCAGGGGACGGGTGGGAGGCAATACCCTGACAGAGAGCAATGCAGCAAACCTCAAAGCGAGGAGTCAAATCAAAGAAGCCTCAGGTCCAGTGCAAACTGGCACCTCCCAAAGGAACGGGAATGAGCGACCCGTACCTACCTCCAGCGGGGCGCAGGCTGGGGTTACTGGAGTGGTGGTTTTACTTCCACTGCGGGACTTCACTTGTGCCCTGTGTGGCGTGTCGGCTAGCGCCCTTGCATGGATCAGGAAACACTTCGCGATCCAGCATGGAAAGGCGCTTGTTAGATACAGCTGCAGATCGTGCGGAAAAACCTCGGAATCGGCCCATAAAATAGCTTGTCACATCCCCAAATGCGGAGGAGTGAAGGTCGCCGCACCGGCTGGTGCGGTAAAGTGTGAGGGGTGTGAGGCTATGTTTGGGACGGTACGAGCGTGGAGTATTCACGAACTGCACGTCCACCCGGAGGTTAGAAACAGAAAGATGATTGAGTTGAGCAGGAAAAGGGGAAGTTCTGCTCCTCAGCAGACTGAGGCGGAGATTAAGACTCTCAGCACTTTGGACTCCTCCGCAGAGGGTCATCCCGCCAAACGACAGCACAAATCTCGAGCTGCGAGGGAGAGTGAGGATACGTCTGAGCCTTCTGCGAGTGCGTCGGTCCCTCCCATTCAACCCAACTTGCCAGAGGGTGGCCTCCTGATTCTCCTCAGAGAGGTGGCCCATAAAATGGTGAGCGAGGGGGAGGGCGACGACACGGGACTCATTCAAGCGCTTACAGCCTGGCTGGAAGGCTGCGACCAGGTACCCGAACTGGTGGAAGCGGCAACGCAACGGATACTCCAAGGATGCGTCCATGGAGGGGAGAGTGGTCCCAGAGGACCGCCGTCCTCAGGTAACAAGCGAGCTCGCCCTCGGTATCGGAATAGGTGCTGTGAAAGATATCTTGCCCATAAACGCGCCTACCACAAGACCCAATACCGATTCAAACATGACCCGGCCCGCCTAGCAGCTGAAATTCTTGATGGAAGACAGGACACACGGTGTCCCATTTCAGCTGAAGTTATTCACAACTTCTTCCAGGCAAAATGGGGGACCCTCCCCCCTTCCGTGGGCTGGGTCAATTCAGGGCGGAGGAGTGTGCTGATAACACTCCTCTCATGGGGCCACTCTCCCAGGGTGAGATCCAGTCTAGCCTCCGGCAGGCCTCGAACGATTCCGCACCGGGCCCAGATGGGATTGGGAAGCGGGATATTCTCAATTGGGACCCCGGGTGCGAGACCCTCACTGAGCTGTTCAACATGTGGTGGATTATGGGAGTGGTTCCTTCCCGCCTGAAGAAAAGTCGAACGGTACTTATTCCCAAGACATCTGACCCAGGGGCGGTGATGGAGGTGGGCAACTGGAGGCCCATCACCATCGGGTCTATGATCTTGAGGCTCTTCACTAGGGTGTTAACAAAGCGGCTAACTGAATCTTGCCCAGTTCACCCTAGACAAAGGGGCTTTCGTGCTACCCCCGGGTGTGCGGAGAACATCGAGGTGCAGCGAGGCCTCATCCGACACTGCAAAGAAGAGCGCAACCCACTCGCAGTGGTATTTATCGACTTTGCACAGGCGTTCGACTCCGTTTCCCATGAGCACATCCTGTCGGCTCTTGGGCTAATCAAAGTGGATCCCCACATGGTAGGTCTGATCCAGCAGATCTACACGGACAGTTCTACCTGTGTCGAGTTCGGGGGTAGGAATACCCCCGACATCAAAGTGAGGGTTGGTGTGAAGCAGGGGGATCCATTGTCCCCCTTGCTTTTCAACCTTGCCTTGGATCCACTGATCCAAGGCCTTGAACGCAATGGCCGTGGCTACATTATGGAAGGGGGTCAAACAGTAGTGTGCCTTGCATTTGCTGATGACCTTGTGCTGGTAGGAGGATCTTGGAAGGATATGGCGTACAATTTACATCTGCTCGACCCGTTCTGCCAGAGTACCGGGCTCAGGACTCAACCAAGAAAATGCAAAAGTTTCTACGTGAAACCTGGTGCTGGATCATTTACAGTCAACGACTTCCCTCCATGGGTACTGGGGGGGAGGCGATCTTACAAACCAGCATCAGCGAGGCTGTTAAGTACCTGGGCGTGAAGGTTAACCCCTGGGGAGGGGTGGTTGAGCCTGAGTTGACAGGTGCTCTGAAGGGATGGGTCAAGAGCATCGGGAAATCCCTCCTTAAACCCTCGCAGAGGGTGGTTCTCCTTAACCAGTATGCCCTTCCTCGCCTTTACTATCAAGCCGACCTGGGGGAGGTTGGTGATAATGTGCTGCGAGCCGCGGACGGAATAATCAGGGGGGCGGTCAAGGAGTGGTTGCACCTTGCTCCGTCCACCACTGATGGGCTATTGTAAGCGAAAAACCGGGATGGTGGCCTGGGGATTTGCAAGCTCACTCGGCACATTCCGTCCATGCAAGCAAGAAGGCTTCACCGCCTTTCTTGCTCTGTAGATCCGGTTACCAGGGCATTGATGCTGACTCCATACATGCGGTCCAAGTTCGAAAGGGCGTGGATGAGGGCCGGTGGCACTAATGAGAACTTCCCACTGGCTAGTGAGGAAGTATTGAACGATAGAGGAGACGCCACCGGCCTGCTGACCCACACGTGTGTTTCTCCATTCGATTGGAGACGTGACGAATTCCTGAAGTGGGCAGGTCCCCTACCCAGGGAGTGGGTATACTCGGCTTTAGGGAAGCGGTTGCCAGCAACTCGTGGCTGAGGAAGCCCGCATGTATGACCGAAAGGCAGTACATTACGGCTCTTCAGCTACGTGCCGGGGTGTATCCCACTCGAGAGTTTCGGTGTCGGGGTAGAAGCAAGACTGAGGCAACTTGCAGGAGATGTCCACATAGGTTGGAGTCATGTTCACACATACTAGGGCAATGCCCGACCATGAGCGTGGCCAGGATTGCCCGGCACCACAAGTTGTGCCGTCTCCTCGGGGCTGAGGCGGAGTCCCTCGGGTGGGAGGCACGCCAGGAATGGGAGTTCAGAACCTGTAACGTGGTTGTGAGACGACTTGACCTGGTACTCATCCGTGGGGATTGCACCCTGGTCATTGACGTAACGGTCCGATATGAGTTGGCTCCTGACACTCTCACGGTGGCAGGGCTGCAAAAAGAGGACTATTACGGGCCCTATAAGAATGTGATCGCATCGAAATTGGGTGTTAAGCATGTACAGATCTTCGGGTTCCCCTTGGGCGTGAGAGGCCTATGGCACAAAGGCAATACCAAACTGCTTGAAACCATAGGCATGGGGAAGCGGAGGATGAAATCCTTTGCGAAGTTGATGAGCCGGAGGTGCCTCCTCTACTCGTTGGAAATTCTGCGGAGGTTCTCCTCCACCCGAAGGAAGTAGGTATCGAGGGCGTGATTCCCGTTGTGCATGCCTGCTGTGATGTACAGGCCTGAATGGGGTAATGTGCCAAGCTGGTCCCGTGAAGGGTTAACAGTGTCAACATGCCTGAATAGGTTTTGTCACACGGCAGTGTACAGAATAACGGTATGGACAGAAATGGGGGGCTGGTGTGGATCCTCGTGGGGTCGGTGAGAGGAGGTTGCATCTCTGACTACCGGCTCGGCGGGGACCTGCTCGGCCCCCTATAGACAAGTAGAAGGCGAGTGCTCGGGGTGTTGGGGTCGCGGCTCCTGTGAAGGCGATGGGTATGAGGAGCCCATTGTACAGAAGGGGGCTGCGGTTCTGACCTCGAGCACTCAAGGGCGGTTGAACGATGACAGCCTCGATACTGACGGGAGCGGACAAGCCCGGTTGCCAAAGGGGTGCCATAGTAGTAGCAAGCGTAATGTCTCGAAAGGACCCAGCCTGAGGGCAAAGACACAGGACCCAACGCCAATGAATGGGCTGATCGCATCAGCTCACATCTGGTAATGGGTTACCTGTAGGGTCAGGGGAAGGGGAAGGAACCGGACGTACCGGAAGGGCAGAACCCGAGTTCAGAACCTATCACTTGTATGATGACTCCCCCGTTGTCATTTGCAGGTTGGGTAGGCAATCTGAAGTGCTAATGCCCTCTCCCTAGGTACAAAACCGAAAGATGGGCATTCTGTCTAAAAGCAGGCATGCTTCTCCACCAACTCATGGGCGGTAATGGGACGGGCATCTCCAATATGGCCGAACTCCTAGCGAAGGGACATGCCAATGGCAGGAAGACCTCCCCAGTACGGGGCAGGAGCATTTCGCCCAGGGAGCGAGGAATGTTGTGAGGAAGAAGTCTCATGACCAACCTACTCACCCGAAAGATGGATATGAGTCCCTATCTAATGGCACCCTGATGGCAGAGAAGCGCGGGGTGGGGGGGGGGGCAGAACTTGACCCTCACTAATTATCTCTCTCTTTGTGTTCTGTTTCAGGTGCTGGTGCAGATGCGGGAGAGGGGGAGCAACGGTTGCGGACAAGGCCGGTGCCGGTTGGCAGGATAGGGACGGAAACGGGACTCGATATGATTAAACATAATGCTGCCCACTGGAACAATGCGGATGCACTAGTGACACTAATTCGCAGCATGATTGGCCTTCATGTCTACTGGGTGACGTGAGTATACTACCTTCCAAAGTTAGCCGGTTTTGTCGTCAAGTGCGCTGGTCGTTCGACCGAATTACCAGCGTGCAGGTAGTATGGGTGACGGGCATCCTTAACAATCCGGAAAGGTGAGACCCCTTGTATCGTACCAGGCGACGATACATGCTCAATGGCGTCTCGCCGTGTCGCTAGCCAAATGCCTCGTCATCTAATTAGTGACGCGCATGAATGGATGAACGAGATTCCCACTGTCCCTACCTGCTATCTAGCGAAACCACAGCCAAGGGAACGGGCTTGGCAGAATCAGCGGGGAAAGAAGACCCTGTTGAGATTTACCCCAAAATGTTCGTGAAGCTGAAGAAAGCTGGAGGTATGATATTGTCATTCCATGTCGTATTTTCTTGTTTTAATACCCATAATTTTGCAGAAAACATTTGCTCAATAACCTTTCTGTTATTGTTACACAGGTGGAGTGTTGCATATGGGCTGCACCCATGGTGTTGTATACCATAACAGGGAAATAAAAATATTAACACAACTTTTCAACATTAGGACAAAATCTCACATCTCTATTCTGTCGAGAAGAGAGACTCCACTGTCATCGCAAAAATCTCTCACTACACCTCATTGGAACTACGTGACCTGAAAAGCGTTTGCCCACCTGATCTCTTGAAAGACACCGGTATTTTGATGCCATGGCTAACTGATAATGTGAGTACCAATTATTTTGACAAATATTTGTTTAATATTCTTGATAATATTTTTAGTGAACTTCTTATCTAAAATGTAATGTTTAACTTTTAAGACATGTACAGTAGATATTGAAACTCACATCATAATTTTCCTCAAATTTATTTTCGTATTGCGCTTTAAAGGCAGTAAATTGTAGGGTTGCACAAATTGCAGCAGAGACCCAGAATGTAAGTAATCACTTGAGAACATAAACTTTTTTTCACACTACTATTCAGAAACGTAATTAAGTATTCCTATTGTGCGATTTATTCAACATACAGGTTATGTGACAGATGTAGCGCACTTCCTTTATACAATATACATGTAATTTTGTTCTCTCTTTAGTGTATAGCCTTGACGACTGACACATTCATTTTGTGGCATAGAGACTGGCTTGCTTCAAAAACAGTTTCAGATTCTCATTTGAAAATTCTTGAGGTACTGTACAATTTGCAAAATAAATATATATTAAGCTCTCCTGCATGTTTATACATGTAATGGCACAGTATGTGTTTCCTATTTCTTTCATTACAGTATGATGCACAGAAAATTCTGTTTCCAAGAATTGTTGGTGGCCAGACACCAGAGAGAGGATGCCACTTCATTCTTTGGGTTAGTTCAAATCGAGGAGTGTTAATCACATGATGTAGAAATTTGATAATAAAGAGACTGTACAGTGAAGTTAAAATTTTGTAAATAAGTAAATTTATCATCCGTAAGCATTGTAAATTTGACCCTTTTTTTATTTCTTCTACAGTCTTTTTTGTTCTTGCATATGCTGCTAGTCCTGTTGCTAGAGTGGCTAACGTTAGCACGTGTTAGCTAAAACACATGCTGTTTTGCCTTTGTTAGGACACACTGGGGTTAAGCAATGTTGCTAGTAACGTTACATGTAGAAATGTAATAATTAGCTACTTACAGTAGTTAGCCAAAGCTTTACATCTAGATAGACTAAGTATAACTTGTATAATAATATACTATATTGTGTATAGGTTGTGTAAATTATTTTGTTTGTCCGAACAAGTATGCTGCTAGTTCAGTTCACAATGTAGCTATAGTGGTTAATATTGGTTCTCTTTGATCACTGCAGCAAGCTTTATGGAAAAGAACATGTGACATATTACATGCATGGATTGGTTTGGTGCACCTCCTCAGACAAGATGCCAAAAAGTATGCTGTCCTTGATAACATATCATGCTTCTCATTTGAAAACTTCCTTGGCCTGGGTGTCTTAATAAACAATAGACAGTCATCGCTCAGTTATTGGCCCTTGGACTCACCTGGCACCTCTTGTACAGCATGAAGTTTTCTGCTATGAAGGTATATTCTAGGCATATGTCTTACTGTGCATTGTTTTAACAGTATTGAAAATAGTGCCTTTAGTTGAAATTTTTAAAAATATATGTATATATTTTTTTTGCAGATTTACAGAGACTCCAGAATGAAAAGCAATGCACCAGCAGGTGAGAATATGCACGTTAAATTTAACTTTTTTGTGTGTGATGTAGGTCCAAAATTACCATATGCCTTTCATTTTGTAGCTTCAGATGACAGCGGCTCACTTCGAGAGCAGGTGAAGCAAGATGGGACAATGTTGAAGATGTTTGCTCACACTGGGCAATCAGGTACAACTTGCAAACAACTTAAGCGTTGGTTGTTGGTGTAATTCCCAATAAGGCCCATCTGTACATGTAGTAGACCTAGATATAACTGTCATAGTAGTTGAGGGACCCGGACTGACTACTTTATTCTTTTATTCTGGGAACCCCTGTAGGTGCAGATCAGACCCCAATGCTGCGACGTCTTGGGGTGTACTCACACTAGGCACACCGAGTACGATTGTCCCCCCTCCCCACTCCCCCTCTGGCCTGCACTCACATAGGGTTTCAGCATTCGTGCCGGAGCACGCTTACGTCATCATTATGGTGCGACGGTTTCCATAGGTTTCGGGATAAACAAGAAGAGCGGCGCTCTCTGAACACTATGGAGTCCATCGCTCTGTTTTCTTTGTGGATAATTTTCTGTCGTTTGGTCCACAGCCCTCTCACAGCCTGTTGTTAAACAGATGTGTCGCCTTTGTGGCGCGAAAATTTTCACGTAATCGTGCTGCTCGTATGAGGAGGTTTGCAAGGTACCAGCTGAAGTGCAGAAAGGACTTTGCAGCTTTGATTACGGACTACAGTTCCTAAAACCATGACTTCACGCGTCCTGTTCCGTGCCCGAGTCCAACTGAACCGTGCTCTGGCCCACCTCTTCCAAGCTGGCCAGGGCCGGCTAATCAAGCCGCGCCCGGGCACGGTTCGGACCACTCAGAATAGTCCAACGAACCGCGCTTTGGCGGTCAAACGCGCTCTGGCACGTTTCAAACTGGCTAGTGTGAGTACACCCTTGGAGAATTTGGTGATGTTGTGCGTAGCATGGACAACAAAATGGACCCTATGCTGCAACATTTTGAGTGCCAATATGTCTTTTGGAGAGTTATCCCTGCCAGGGGATCTGTTACTCCCCCTAGACACCCAGGAAGATTTGCCGTTACTTGACAACAGTATGAGGCAGGATAAAGAGCTCCTGGAACAATTTGTATGTGTTTTGATTTTGTTTATATCGCCATAGTAAAAAAAAAGTCGTTTTTTTTCTTTCAAAAAAGTAAAATTAAGATTGTACACTGCATATTCTACAGTCTGAATCCACACCCTGTTACATTTTAAATGTATGAGAAGCTTCAGATAAATGTAATTTGTTACTTTTTATTTTTTATTTTTTTTTTAGCTTCGGTTTTTGACAATCAAATGTGAGAGGGACCTAAAGACAACCATGTGGCGAATGCTTCAGAGTATCTTCTCTAATCACCTTTCCATCAATATAACCTGGTCTGGTGTAGGTGATAAAGCATGTTTGAACAATGGTCTTCAGGAACATGTCTCTAAATGTAAGTTGGATATTTTTTTATACATACAAATACATTTCATAAATACAAAATATATTAGAATAATATCCCAGATTTAAAGTGTAACCACGTTGAATGTTTAGTTCTGTCCTCATTGTCACTCATTAAGCAGGGCTGTCGTGTTGCGCGTGCTGTGGATTTGCGTGAGACATCGCTCTCTCTGTTCTCTCTCTCTTCTGAACTGCGAATTGCAAATTTGCATCACAGACAAATGGTTTAATTAAAATATAGTTTATATATAGAAATGGCTGGCGATATAAACATGTTCAAGATAACGTCTTTAAAGGAATAATAAATGGTAGCCCAACTTTCGTGTATTTACTTAATTTCTCCAGTACCGACAGCAGAACCGATAACGTCCGAGCTTATCGATACAGCGGTCTTTCAAAATTCAGTACCGGGGCCCGTTTAATACCGGGTTTCGGTACCCATCCCTATTCGTGCATTTGTTATCAAATGGAGCACAATTATTTGTTTCATTTATTCTCGGAATGTGAACTGTTGACTGTTGTGAACTAATGACAGGAAATGAAGATAATGTCTGTTCTATGTTATTATTGTACTGTACAATTAAATACAATCGTTGCTGAGTTTGCATTCTGAAAACTTTACCTCAGAGCATCCGTTCACTGAATGAATTGAGAATCTCACCTGAAAAATCTAATAATAACATCAGCAATTGTCATTCAAGCAGCTGATTTCTGTAAATGACTGCAAAACTAAATGCATATTGAAGCATAGGGTGAAGTCAGGGTCCATTAGCAACGATTTGAGACAAAAATAATAAAAATGTTATACTATGTAAATGGCGCTCTGTGGCGCAGCAGGATTTTGAACAGGGTCCTGAGACGTTGCTGGGCGCCGCGGACAGACGGCAGACGCCGAATGGCGCCGCTGGTATGTGTACACTTATAGATAATGTGTTCGAATTTTAAATATGTGGCGCGGCGCTGAGCTTCTTGTCCGGTGTGCGACCCCCTTAACGTTAATTTTGTGAAAGTTAGCTGTGGTTGAATACTTGCACGACATGAAAAGATGCGTCAAATGTACCTGATTTTTTATTTTTATAAAGTTACCAAAAAGGAGGACCAGCCACGTCAACTCCTTGCAAGAGACTTGCCCAGGGCCTGAAGTTAATTTTTTCGGCCACCGGCCACTGTGGCAGGTGGATTTAAAAATTCACCTGCCACAGAGACTTTTTACCAGCCATTTTTTTTTTTGCCTCATAAACGTAAAAAAAAACAAAACAAAAAAAAACGGGAATTTCACAATATTGTTCTTTAACTTGTAAGAATACACATTTAAGTGCTGTCAAGTAATAATAACTCTAATAACATACATTTAAAAAAAAAATCTTTTTATTCATTGATTTTGACAGACACACACACACACACACACACACACACACACACAACATATAGGCTACAGTATAGGCTATAATATAGTATACTCAACAGATAGACCTACCGCAGCTCGTAAACAAATCACACGCGGCTGTGTTGATGGCGGATTTAGTCACGTTGACAGGTCTTACTCTTAACAGCTTTTAGTTACAGCGTTCAGGAACGGTTAAATATGAACTAAATCAATACTGTTATTACTGATAAAATTACCGGGTACCGGACATTTTCTCACCGGTTCCCAACTCCCAACATGCACAGTTGCACACGCACACACATCTGTGCAACTGTCATTGTACTGTAACCTACAACAGCGACGCGTTACATTATCTCATCCCATCTCATCAACAGTTTAATACTCGCATACGTAGTCAGAAAAAGAGCCTCATCTTCTTTCTGATCGCATGAACGTTACGAAACAACAGTCGCTGTCATAAATCAGCCGCTCACGAACCTTGCCATTGCCGCCGATTGTTCACTTTGTATTAAAATGTCTTCTTTACTTTTCTTTTTACGTTTGTTTTGTTTCAGCTGGCCTCTTTACCCCAGTAATGTGCCGCCACATTTTAGCTAAAGTCCAACGCAATAGCGGACTTCCTTGAAATGTAAAAATCCTAATGAATCACTCACAATTCTCATTGGCTACCTGCCAAAGTGGCAGGTAGATTGACAGTAGCTGTGTCTGAAACCGCTCACTCGTTCACTCATTCACTAATCCCTATATAGTGGATGGCATTTGAGTGCACTATATCTGCAAGGAGTGAAGGAGATGAAGTGAGTGAATTCGGACGCTGACGTTTACACTGTGCGTCGGAGAGTTGGAGCTGTCGCAGAAAAGGCTTCGTCACGCGTACTGATAAAACTCCTTTTATCTTACATTACCTACTTCATAAAATAATATTAACAACAATAACAATCATAATGACTTTATTTTGTAATTATACCTCCGTGCCAGCTTTGTAGTTTCATTGACTGAAATTGTACATTAACTCTCACGTTCACAGATGACGTGTCGTCGAGCGCCCTCCGGCGACCGTTATTATGTTCAAAACGACGATTAACGGATATTTTTCAAATCCTCCACTGGATGTAATGTAATCTCTGGTTTAAACTTGCTCGCGCCGAACTTTCATGCGCGCTCAGTTCTCTCCGCATTGGATTGTGGGAAATAGGGCTTCAGCGAGTGTACATCGAATGTACACTCGAATTCAGAGAGGATTGTGGGTAAAAGTAGTGAATGAATGTAGGGAATGATGTCGTTCACTCAGAATTCGGACACCACTACAAAATGGCCGACACCCGATATAGTGCACTATTTAGTGGATAGGGAGCGATTTAAGACACAGCTAGTGTTACCCGCCAATAGCAAAATTCACCCGCATTTGGCAGGTGGTCGGGTGTTAATTTCAGGCCCTGGACTTGCCCCTTCAAACCCTCTCCGCATAGCTTCGTCCAGTGACTCGTACAGTAACATCTGTGATAACTAATTTACTTTTAAACCTGACTTCTCTTGCGGTTATTTCAGTTTAATGAAAAACAAGCATGTCATTAAACGAAACGTTTATAGAAATCGAACTTTACCTCATCCATGACAACTACTTTTCGATTCCCGTCTGACTGATTTATCCACGGTGGAGTTGAAAACAACAGTTCCCATCATTCCGCGTTCCTCCACGTCGTCATCAAGCAAAGCCGTTGTTGTTGTTTTGAATGTAGCGCCCTCTAGCGGCATCTAAATCTTAGGTATTGCAGCTTTAAAAGACAAACCATCCATTTTTTGAAAAAAAAAAAAGGATTTATATAGCGTTTTGAAAAGAAAAATATTTAACTTTTAATTTATCATTATCAATATTGTTGTTTGATTTAATAATCATTGTTCAACATCTTTAGACAGAAATATATATATATATATATATATATATATATTAAAACAGGATCAATTGAAAAGGCTAAAGAAACTATAGTTTATCCTTAAGGAACAGTCGACCAAAGAGATGAAAATAATGTTGTTCCAAACATGTTATGAGGAACACAAATGGAGATGTTTAACAGAGGGGATTCACATTCATTGTAAACAAAAAGGTCAGTTAAACAGTGCTAATCTCCATTTGGGTTCTGTTAAGTAATTAACATGATATTTGGAGGATGAAAACATGACAAATATTTGAATGACAAATGACAAATCTTCTGTCATGCTTTGTGCACTGCCTGCACCTTGCCTTAAATTGTTTCATCACAGCCATCGGCACCTGTCCCAGGCCCAGCACACCATTTGTCCTTTCGGTAGGTCTTCATTTTCTACCTCACTCTTATAGAAGAAAACATAGGCTACGTTTGCATATTATGTTCTATATGAGAGTTAATGTTACATTGATGGTCTTATTCTTTATTTCAAAATCTTTATTCTTAATTTAAAGTAGGGATATGCATGGCATTCCCACCGTTTTCATTATAATAAAAAAGGGAGGGACAGTTTTTTGCAGCCAGGAAAAAAAAAAAAACACACTCCATAAACCCCAGACTGGGCCGGATTTAAATCGACCAGGACAATAAAAGAGGGCTCAAACATCTTTTTAGTTAGGCCTATATAAGAGTCTCAGTACATTAAATTATCAGTGGTGTTTTAGGATGCCAAACAATTATTATAATAGCCTAATGTAATAATGATTTATATAGGTCTAATTATTCCTATATGACGTAAAATCCATATAGCCTATAAATATACTAGCCTATATAAATGAAAATGAATATTTCCTATATTTTAGCCTATATTACACTATAATATAGGAAAATTAAAATACGTTCTCTATTTCTTCACTTGCAAGAAATAAACCCTTGAGCTTATTTAGGAGAAAACACCAGATGACCTGATCGCGTGAGCAAAGTGCACACTTTTCTTTAAAATCACCCA